CAGTGGGGCAGGAGATATGAATTTCCGGTCGGACAAACACACACGCATACACACACAAAGAATCCAACAGATACACTTACAATTAGCCGATTATATAAGTAGGATTCTGCGACTATTAGGGGTGCCTCATTCGGCCCTTGTTATTCACATATTCGAGTGAGACTCACTCACTCGAATATGCTCACTTTGTTGGAACCGTCTGAGTTTTAGTTTCTGGGCGTTGTTTCAACTGAGCTGATGCGTTGGGGCGCTTGACCGGGTGAACCCCAGATCAGGGGCTTTGAAACACATTCAGGTCCTCTACGACGACGATTCCTTCAAAACTTCGTCTGATCATAGCGGTTTCACTGTACCAGGCTATGCAATGCAAGACATTGTCTACGAAGCTTCCTGAAACCACGACAAACTATCTCATTAGATTCGTTTTTGTGCGATTTGGGCGTAATGTACCGAATGTTGGGAAAAATTTGCTCCCACTTGTCAACGAAAAACCTATACTGCTCTAGAAAAACGCGAGACCCCACAGTTCAGGTAGCACTCTGAGAGAACTGGCGTAGCTGATTTTAGAGGTTCTCCTCCTACCCGAGCTTTCACTTTAAGTTATTTTCTTTTTTGGGGTACCTACAGTGGCGCTCAAAGTCTTTGGCCAAACGCTCTTACGCTTTTCCGCTCATAACTTTTTTCTTAGGGGAGCAAATCGCGCGAATTTTTGATATGTTTAACTAAAGCATATTACACACTATGCCTCACTATTTGACTGCAGTGCAGCAATATCCACACAACTAGAGCAAGGTGTTTGGTGCCGTTGCAGGATCCGCTAAAAGCAAGGTTACTGACGTCTCCAATTGTTCGCACCTTACGAGCGTTTTCTTCCCTACTGTGTTCGGCAGTAGCGCTCGTACACTTAGACATGGTAGAAAGGAGAGAAATTCTAGAAAGGCCCTCATTCGTATTTTCAATTGATTTTGAGTTCGAGCCCTTTGGGATATCTGGAACATGATCAGATTGCAGGTTATTAGTGGTAAATATTCACAATACACCTGTGCTACAAATATTGAAATTTCGCATGGTTACATCGAGTAGATAATTACGATCAATTTATGAAAATTTCTTCAAACCAAATCACAACGCTTGAATTCATTAGTGCGCGGCCGTAATTAATTCTGCTTATGTTTGATGACAAAAATCACGCGAAATATCAAAATCATAACAAAATAAGACTGCCAGAATTCAGCTGCCAACTACAGCAATGTTTAATATTTACAGAAACCCAAATTTTACACTTTTAAAACATACGCAACACTCGACCATAAAGCAAAGTTGTAATAGACACAATGCTGATAAACATAATGGGATGCGCCATGTATTTGGCTTCAAATGAAGTTTGATGATGTAATGTTTGCTGGCTGTTAACGAACCAAGTAATCTACAAAACCCATGAAGAGCTCAGTCAAACTAACACTAACCCTAACATGAATCGACTGGAGCAACATCAACAGATGTGCACTAAAGCGATGCTATCAAGTATGCCTTCCAAAGGTTCAGGGGTGCTTTTCAGAAAAGAGAACAGAGCCGGAATGAACGTTCGGAGGCGTAGTTTACGGATTCGTTTTACTTATGTAGTGCTCTTGGAGAGAATCTTCATCCATCAGAAGAACACATCAGCATTTGTAAGTCTCCATGGCGATTCTGTCCTTAGCTGACACCGTGCTCCATTCTTCAACTAAACCGCACAGGTAGCTGTGAAGAACACCTTGGTCGTCAGCACTACCTGCAAATATTTGTTTCAGGGCATGATATATGTAGGTTTCCTTTTATATATCGGGATTAGAGAACAAAAACATTGAATATCACTTTCTTGTTTTTCAAAATATTCCCCATTAAGATCCATACACTTTTGCATGCGCATGAACCAATTGTCGAAGCACTTCTGCCACTCTGATTGAGATATCTCCAAAACATACATTCTGAACGCATCAACCGCTTCTTCAGGTGTCGAAAAACGATGACCTCTCATTTTATTTGTTGCGTACGGCAATAAAAAGAAGCCATTCGGTGCCAAGTCAGAACACATGGCAAATAACTCATCAAATCGATGTTTTGAGTGCGCAAAAATGCAGTTGTTTGAGCCGATGAGTGAGAGCTCGCACTGTCGTGGTGAAAAATAATCCGTCTTCGACAATTTTTTGACAACCAAATGTTCATACAATGTTGAATGTGTGCTGGTCCCACTAATGCCTAAGCTTGTCTTAATCTCAGGATGGGTCACATGATGATCTTGCAATATTAATTTGCGCACACCATCAATGGTTTCCGGAACAACAACTGATTTTGAACGATCTCCGTGAAATTCGTCTTGGATGAACTACGACCTCGGTTGAATTCACCATGCCATCGAGAAACACTGGTCCTTGATGGAGCTTTCCAAAGGGGCGGGGAAGTTTGGCCCAAATGGGGGGGGGGGNGGGGGGCGCCAAAGGGTAGGTTTGGTCTGAATAAATCTTTTATGTTAGTGTAAACAACACAAATGGCGCTCATATGTCAAAACGTTCTGAGTACGTGTAACCTCAAAAATGTAAACTTTACGATAGAGCTGTCAATCGCAAGATTGCAACATCAAGGTTGCGCAATCCCGTAATATAAAAGGCAACCCTCATACATTTTTTGGTGAACTCTCGCACCTGTAGGATTTTATGAAGGTTCGCAGGTCTTGAATATTGATAATGTATTGACTGATCAGACTGAGATCAACAGATCTAGGATTTTAGCCAACTTACCTCCCAGGAGGTACTCCTGACCAACATCTAATTCAATACCACATGCAGCCGAGTTCGACGCTGTACTGATCTCTTTCGGTAGAATTTTCACATTCGCAGGCTTCTAAAAAGGAATTCTATTAGCTCAATTTCCGCTGATTTGTAAGAAGAAGTGAGTTGTTTGCTAAAATTTCACTTCTTCTACCTTCACCCAGTACTGTGAACGACTGTTGACTGTGACTTGACATTGACAATGATGCGGAGAACTCAGCCTAATCAGTGAGTGGTCATTTTTCATTGTGGTGCGTTGTGTATCGTTCGAGTTTCCGCTCTTAGAGAGCAACACAGTCTTCTTAGTTTTATACGATATGGTAGGTGGGCAGGTAGACGTGGTTGTCAAAGAGATCCGAGTAAGGTCTAAGATGGTCTTCCTCCATTGCCCTTTGAGATGCAGAAACTGTTACGTGAAGACGACGAATATAAATTAGTCTGATCACTGATGCTGAGATGACTGTCTACAGCTCGTGCGATTCTACGCTTGCTAATCAGCTCAAGAGTGTTTAGGTGAGACGTCTCTGGACTACTTCTAGACTCTCTGCTTTCCTAACACCACCGTAAAGTTGTTCGACGAGGCTGTATCGACGTCCCTAACAGATCCTCCCGCAAACTTGCAAGGGATACGAATTGATTCCAATACACAACGGTTATGCGGTTTCGTTTCCTGAACATCGCAGCATTGAAAAATAAAATATATAATAGCACGGAGGTTCGATCCTGTGTAGAACTTCGGAACAACAGCGACGTCAGTCAGTCAAACTTCCGATTGAAGACGATGTTATTGATTTCATTACGGAACTGTACACCAGGTGATTTCTTAGTCCATCGCAAGTGAGACGGGCTCTAGCCGTCCTTCATTTGCAAATTTGGAGCTGAAATCACCGGCCGTGACCATGAGAAAATTGTTGCTCTCTGAGGACCCTTTTCAGGTCCATATTAAACGCTTCCAGCTTCTCTTCTTCTCAGGATAACGGAGATTCTTAGAGTTGGGGTTGAGCTATTTCCCTTAATCACAAACGTCTGATTTTGCATGTCAAGCTTCCGTACAAATCGATATTCGTGGTCAAGTGCTTATTGACAAGGACACCGCTGACCTTCCTTCATGTTTCGAATAACGGTTCTTCTTTATTATCGAATGAAGCGCAGCGGAGTTCTCGTTCCGATCAGTCCGATGGCGTCGTAATTGATCTTCCTAGCTTGCATTATCAGATCTTCATACTGCTTCCTATGCAAATGCATGTGCTTTGGAAGGTGTGCAGCCTCTGAAGGCCATGAGATTGTAGTAGCCTCTCCGAAGCGATCCCACCCAAGGCTGCCGAGTTCAGTGGAATGAGGCCCATTTATAATGGTGCTCCGGCATATGGGTTGCAACGCAGCTTGCTAGGCTCCAACGTAGGGCCGGGTAGACTTCGCCAGCCGGTTATCCTAGAGTGGACAAGGAACTGAGGATTTTGGCATGTTCCGTACAAAAAGCGGTGGTCGTCCAATGCCATAGATTCCAGCTCAAACCATGACAGAGAAGAGATTAAGACTAGGAAAAACGATCTGACCATTTTCAATAGTATCGTGGCTGGTAGCAGCGAAAATAGGATTGTTTTGTAAGCTGGACTTCTGTTTCACGCTATACGTATTTTTGGTGAAGAGTGTATCGAAGTAGACCCGTGCGAATAGGGTACTGAACTTCCTTCTCTACCGGATTCCTTCTTGTCAGAGATGCTAGCAGCTCCCGAAATCTATACGGACACAGTTGCTCGGGGACGACTCTTCTTCTGACGACACCCAATGATTCAGCAGTCATGTATCTCTTGCTTCATCAGAACGGCGCCAGCTGTCGTAACTGAGACAGCACAATCGAATCGAGATTTGCCATACATCGACTCACGTTTTGCGTCTGAAGAAACGGTCACGCGAGGGGTGCCGAAATGATGGGCCATCTCCGAAGATTTGCCAAATGCACACAAAAACGAATGACGGCAGAATGATGACGAATTTCCAACGTTATCCGCGAACCGGCAAATTTTGCGCGGCGGAGCGGATAAGTGAGTTGAAGTATATTTTAAAGATAATAGATGCAGTGAATTCTCCTCGCAATGCAGAAAATTTCTATTCGATGCAAAGTTCTTGTTATGTATAATTTTATAACGCACCGTGCATTGAAAAGGAGGGAATCGAGCCTGGACGGAGATCCTCTGGACGACGAGCTGATGCTACTGGTCAGAAGGTGCTACGGATGTCGCCGTAACGGAATTAAGTTATCGCGAGCAATTTTGGCTGATCACGTCAGAAGTGACGGGGGTAGCCACTCACAGAGGTATATCAATCTGAAACTAAGTGCGAGGGTTGAATTTTGGGTGGATATTCGCTGAGCTCAACCAAGCCTTTCATTCTTGCGCGGTCTGGGAGAATGAAAGCGCTGACTCATCATAGATCGACTGGCTACCACAACTCACTGTATAGGTCACGATCAAATTCGAAACACCAAATCAATTTCGAATAAAAGCGGAATGCGAGAGTGCATTCCAAATGGGAAAGGATTAACACAAAAAAATCATTCCTCATGTCAGAAATGAAATTTGGCGTCATGCCCGGTTGTGGTTCTGCCTCGTGGCCAATTGGTGAGGCAATATTTCCCCAAGTAGGCATCTTTTTCACTTATCGGTGTCGGCATCTTCTAACTTTTTATGTCCCTCTCCTTGCAATTCTTATAAGTTCGGAAAGTGAAATTTTTCTTGGTCGTATAACCTGGTTGGTTCACGCTTTCGTAAAACGTTGGCGGTAATAAATCTCGATCAACAATTTGAGGCTCTTCGAGAGAAACTTACTCGATAAACGCAGATGTGTTCTACGATGTATTCGACATCCTCCAAGCCATCAGAGTCTTCATTTGGATCGTCCTTTGCAATTACCTTCACATGCGTTACTGTAAGGAGTTTTATTCTTTGTGGCTGAATATTTACTGCGAGTTCAAAATAACTCAAGAACTGAAGGGTAAAGTCAAAGCTATGCGAAGAGATATGAGGGAAAGGAGGCAAATCAAATAAGGATTTCAACAAACCAACGACATACCGAAGTCTGAGGCGCAGAATGTCTCTTTAAGAGAGTTGAACGGTAGACAGGAACAGGCTTCTGAAGCGGCCACNTCTCGATTTGAGGCTCCATTCTTACTCCGAGAGAAACTTACTCGATAAACGCAGATGTGTTCTACGATGTATTCGACATCCTCCAAGCCATCAGAGTCTTCATTTGGATCGTCCTTTGCAATTACCTTCACATGCGTTACTGTAAAGAGCTCTATTTAATGTGGCTGAATATTTACTGCAAGTTCAAAATAACTCAAGAACCGAAGGGTAAAGTCAAAGATAAGCGAAGAGATATGAGGGAAAGGATGCAAATCACAACAAACCAACGACATACCGAAGTCTGAGGCGCAGAATGTCTCTTTCAGAGAGTTGAACGGTAGACAGGAACAGGCTTCTGAAGCGGCCACACATGCGATGAATGCAATCAAATACTGCATTTCTAGAATGAAAATTCCAGGAAACTGTATCACATAGAAATCTTTCTAGGATAGATCTTTTGGAATAACTAAGACTCTATCGATATCCCGAAATTTTTGCACATTCCATAGAGTTACATTATCAGAAGGGATAAAATACACAGATGGGAAGGTTTCCAGAATTAGGGTCGAAATACAATAGTTATAAAAGATACTGATTGAAATGATAAAAGGATAAAATTTCTGGCGTTAATCAGTCCTATTTTGGAATGGGCCCCACATTAAACTTCCATTCAGAATCGTGGTGCCGTAGTAAATGGGTATGTGACCTATACAGACAATGGCAGTGGGCAAACGATGTCCAAGTCAGTACTTTTATCCTCCCAGACGAATATGGTACTACCTGACTGATTTTGCAAGGATGGGAGACTTGATTGGCTTAGACGAATATTGATCCGGGATTCGACCCCGTTACCATGTGCGTATGTTGATGCGCCACTTTGCACTGCACCACCTCTGCCCAATTAACGATTATAATAAATAACAAAAATAAAAACTTCTCAACATATGCTAGTAAATAAGTACCAGAGTGAACATAATAATGCAATAAATAAAACGATAATAAAAAAAAACAGCAAAGTGCAGAAAGTCAGAACAAGTTACTTAAAATCATATAAACTTGAAATATGCTACTCATGTGGCTGTGCTACTTTCAGAACATATGGAATCGCCAAGAATTATTAGCTAAAAAACCGATTCCTCTTTGATATTGGTTGTAAAATGACTGAAAGAGCAAAAGGCACATGGGGATGATCAATCTGCCTGAATGTGTCACTCATGGGACATCACTACCGATTTCTAGGGGTATTAGGATAGGAATTCAAAGCCTAAACGGCGACATGTGAAGTGACTTTTATGATGAGATAAAGTAAAGTATGTAGTCAAGAATGCAAGTCATCTTACTCCGGACAAGTGGTTCCAGTACACAAACGACTTTCCATAAAATTCGACGAACTTGTATTTGTTTTACTAGCGTTTTCAGATTCGGCCTGGCTTGGAACAGCGTTCCAACTACATTTTTCGTTTTTTTGAAGTTTTCTATCGACTGGGTTCTAAGCGAGAGGACTTCACCGTTACGGCTGAATCATACAATCAGTCAATGGGATTGATACTTATTGGTTGACGGTTGCTATTAATACTGCTACTTCTATAAAACGAAGAGGATATCGAAAACGATAATGGGTGATACGCCCGCCCCTTCACTTGATCTAACTTTTTGTTACACTGTGAATCTTACAGGGCCAGAGGTGAGGTAAGGGAGGAGAAGAGAATGTTGACTGCTTCGAGGGACGCCCCGTGAGGGACATTTATTGATAACTCACAGGCGCTCATGGGAACAAATCACCATGAAGCATTCGTAAGTGTGTAGAAAGAAAAATAATCAACAATGTTGCTAGTCCTAGCTGTTGGGAGGAGGAGGTGTTGAAGTTTTGAAGTGAAGCGGCAAATGACGCACTACTATTACACGGAGATAGTCCTGAGGTCGAGTTCCTTGAATGATACTCACGCAGGCCAACCTTATCTTTATCTACTCCCAGTCGGTTGATTGGAACCAGATTTGTCCGAGAAGGTAGTCCACTAACGTATACATTAGCGGACCACCGCAAGCCATTCAAGCGCAATCAAACGGTCACTACTAGCCTGAATGGAAGTTGTGTGTGACGTGTGTATCCTACCTTGGACCCTTTGTATTTGCAGTGAATACGGTTTTCGTTGGAAAGGGAAAGGTGAATGCATGGTAAAAGTGTTAGTCAGTAATACTGATAGGCAATCGTTCTCTATCTTCTATCACTAGGATTCATAAACAAAAAGGCATTCATCATAGGAGGGGGGGGTTCACAAGTTCAACTACCATTTACTATGGGCTTGTTTAAAGGAAAAATACCACAACGCAAAGAGATATGTGTAGAATGCTTGTTATTTTATAGAGGGTGTGATGGGTGGGGGTTTTGGAAATCATACACAAATGCTCCTTTTTATGTAAATTTCTGCTTGCTACCATACATATGGGCATGATCCGCATTTAGGAATATATGAATAAATATTTATTGTAGTGTTTCCTGATGTAATCCTGTATTTGAAAACAGAACTCTGGAAACAAATTTATGAATATTTTCATGTGCATACTTCCATTACGAACGCAACGACAAACTTGATTGAAAGTTGCTTCTTTTCAGATTCGTCAGCTCATGGTTCTATGAAGAAATGGAGCCGAAATCTTGGAAGAAAAGTAGCATAAGGACAATGAAAGCATAGCAGCTGACAATTGGAGGATCTCAAGTCGAACTGCCTATTTTTTCTAAAGTTAGATTTGTGCTACTGGACATGTTTCTCGTATATGATTACGAGTTTGTTCTTTGAGTTTGTAGAACTACTTCATGAACAGAGGTATGAAGGTGTTTTGACTCGTACCTTCACAAAGTTTCACCTAGGCCATACCCCACATGCCGTCGTCCTGGGGTAAGGGTGATACCACATAGGAGTGAGACTGTGGATCGGATTTGGTGTGAGTCGAAGTTGTTGCTCTCTTTTGAGATTTTCAGACTATCTTTTGATTAGAATTATGGAGATGTTTTGACTTGTGGACCGATGAAGTTACACCTATGCCCATTACCATGCTGTTGCCCTAATGCAGTGACACTTGTGACACCACATAGGGGTCGAACTGTAGGTTGGGCTCTCTGAGGAGCAAGGTCAATGCACTCTACTGGGCCTCCTTTTGGGTTTTGAAGAAACTTTTCAGATGACTAGACCTTGAGGCGGTTCACCAATCTTTTTGATGTTTGCGGTGACTCGATGCCCAGTTAAACTGCCCCACCCGCTAATATTCCCGTGCCCGTTCAAAAGAGGAACGCTTCAATAGAAAGGTGCCTCTGCTGGTTCATAGAAGCAATAGTTATTTGAATAAAAAGTAGAAGATAAAGCTCCAGGCGTAAATGAGTCCTGTTTTCGGGATGCGCACCGTCTCCTCAGTTCCATTCAAAATCGTAGTAACTGTTTGAATGCGCATGTGGCCTTCACATGGCTTGGGCTGCTGGCCGACGTACCACAACTCAGTGCTTATATCCTCTCAGACATATCCGGTACCAATTACCCAACCCCGGAGATGGAAGTCCCGGTTGTCCTGGTCGGTCCGGAATTTGATCCCCGACCTATGCGTTGGTGATAGGGTCCACAACACCACCTCCGAATTAATGAATAAATAAAGTAATAAAGATCTGGCAACGTGCATATGTTACTCATCTCTGATGCAATTTCTTCTCAACACAAGGACATGGACACAGAGTACCTCATACGGTCTGGTCGTAATTGAAACGAGGGATCAGCACAATAAAAAAATAAAAAAGCGAAAAAGGAATATTGTAAAAAAACTAAAAGTGAGTCAGAAATGAGAAAAAAAATTAGAGCAGAAAAGGCTCAGTGTCTCAGCGTGAAGTTGTACTCTGATACAGGGCCACTGTAATATTCCCCAGCAATCTTTGGCAAAACTGGAAAGGTGAGCATGAAAAACTTGCAAAACGACGAATGGGCAAGAAATTTCGGGTGAAAAAAGCACACTAAAGAACAAATAGGGTCGCAAATTATGTTTTTCGTCCATGCCCTCACGTATTCCATGCTGTTGAATCTTTCTTGGTAAGATCGGTCGATGGTGATGGTATGCTGATGATGAACATGGGCTGAATCTACCATAAAAAGTAACTTTGCACAAGGTTAGGGATGCGTGTGGATTCAGGTGCTGGATTCGCTGTCGCCGCTGTCAAGAGCCGGTTTATACTTTTCGTCTCCTCCTAACCGTATGACATCACATTTCTATCACAGACCTAAACCACACAACTTTTATGTACTTTTGCTAAAAATGTTTACGATTCAATTTTCGCGTTGACTCGCCTTGTTTACGGCTGAGATCACCGAATATCAACATTTACAATCACCAACCGAGGTATTTTATCTTCCCAACGCAGTGGCGTAAACCTGTTAGTCTTTATCATAATTTGGGTGAAAAAATATGTCGTGCTTGAAAAATTTGCAGCAGAAAGGAAAGAATAACTTCTGCCCCAAAGTGCAAATGGGATGAGCCGTGAACAAAGCCATTGCACAGAAATAATTCTGTCTCCATTCTTATGGCCATTTCTTCTCTGGAACGAGTGACTTTGTGAATTCTTGCAGCAATGTCTAGTATTATGTAGTATATACGTTAGATGTTGTGTTTATTGCTATTTTCTGCCTTCAATGAATCAATCTTTTTTGTTGCCTACAAAAGACTAAAGGAATCTAAATCAAGGGGGAAGGGGGAGGGGAATTTGCTTGTATTAATGCAAAATTCGTATTGTCCTCCAAGGCCCTAGTATAACAGTCTTGCCATGGTATTAGACCAGTATTGAGTAATTCTTCTGAGCTCATCGACGGAATAGAGTTGAAGTCTTTCCCAAACCATTGTTCACTTCAAATTTCAGTTTCTCGGAGTAATGCGAGCAAATTCCAACATCAGAGGTATTCCGATAGTGACTAGCAGACGAGTCTTATCATTTGCTTTTTACGGTAAATGGTTTGACGGTTGGCAACACACTTGAACGACTGGCAGTAGAAAATGCAATTGTAACGAATAGAATGAGGCGTAAGATACGGTGGTCCGCGTTTGTACGCAATCACACGGGTTACTGGAGGTATTTTTACATTCCACATTGAATGCAGGCGGTTTGCCCCGGTTTTCTTGTCATTCTTTTTTTAAACTGTTTAAACAACTCCATTCTTTCGGAATTCTTCCGTTCTTGAACTTTAAATGTAATCCAGTTTTGTTATTGTCCCTTTTCTTGGGAGAAAGCAGAGCAGTAGTAAACGGAACACTCGTAATGACATTTTACAAGTATTTCCTTTGAAATTATGGCCGCTACAACCTTTCACGTGACTCTTATATTTTGATGTCTAGAAGTATTTGATATGGCTTTTACAGAAGAGTACGTTTGTTCCATAACATTACTTAACATTTTCTGGAGTCTTGGTAACATTAAAGTCAGTTGAAATTNAGCAATTTTGACACTACTGATCTCTTATTTTCTGATGTTGCTTCTTCCAGACTACTTTTTAATCTTTATCTAGAGAATACTGAAAGAACTATCACCTGTTTCTTCACAATTACCCATTTTTATTCATTACAGAAACTTGAGTTAGTGTGTTATTGAATTACTTAGAAGTTCACAGTGCGAAAAAGGCATTATATGAACTTGAAAGAGAGGCATCTCAGAAAATGAAGAATTCCCCTTCATTCTGCAAACGCCAGTGAATTTCTTTCAACTTTTATCGTGCACGCTGAAGATTGACGTAGCAATAGTATCGGGTTATTTTTTCTCAACTCTTACTATGCTCGTAATGTGCTTCATTCTTTTTCGCGTTTTTTTTTTCTAAGAAGATAACATATTTCAGTTAGAAGTGGCCCGCGAATGGCTGCCTATGCATTGGGGCCCAAATCTGTCGATTTCGACAAGGTATGGGGTAATTTACAGCCATCCGTGATTGAGATAATGAATCTTCACCCCATGACGAAGAAGGACTGGGACGATAAGTTTCAGTGAGTTTCAGAAACCTTTTGCGGCAATCAGTCATTTTCTGAGTTTTTATCAAGTTACCGGATTTCTCTATATTGTTTTTCTTTGTGCTCTTTAAGATGTAAACACGGATAGTGTAATCTTTGTAAGAGCCATGTGGTATGCTCTTCACTGCAGGGGTAGATGCGAATGTTCATCACCTAAACATACGTAAAGGTGCAACTTTGCTCTCACCATCATGGGCGTGTGTAATTAGACACATTATATAGCAAAATAACGTACCGGTCAAGCGCCAAAGAGCGAAGCTTGACGATTTTGATGAGTGATGAGCATGAGTTTTAGGGCTTAATTCTGCTCACTCGAGCTTTCAAGTGCGTATTTACTCCAGCTCAAAACGCATACCTATTATTTCAGTGTTAGTTGGAGTGTAGAATAAATTGTATCCACCAGAAACGTTTAAGGAGCGGAGGTATATTTTGCAGGGTTTGCTTTGTTCTACTTATCGTTCCCCCTTACTCTTTACAAGGTTTCCTTGCATTTTAATAAGTGCATGGATTCTGTCTTTCCAATTGATGCTCCAATTTTCATTGGAAGCTTGCGACTATTTTCTTTTTCACCATCTGACAAGTAAAGGATGAGTATGTTTTGATTTTCAGTGATGTTTACGATATCTGCGTTGCCATACCTGAACCGCTTAGTAGTCGATTGTATACATCAATGAAGAAGTGCATAGAAATGCATGTAACAAGTCTTTATGAGGTTAATCAAGTCGTTTTCTAATTGTTTCACAGCGTGGTTCCGTTACCTATTTTGAAATTTTGCACTTCAGAAAGTTGCCAATGTTCCTTCGGATGAGTTACTGAACCAGTACTACTCTATGTGGAAGATTTACTATAAAGGAGCTAATTATGTTCACAGGCTGTTCGGGTAAAAATTTAGACTACTAGCTTTCATTTAGTGAGTGACGTGATCTTGGCTCTGTCTAGGTATCTCAATAACCAGTTTGTGAAATCAAAGCGCTCCGTAGAGGGTGATGCAGTGGCAAGTTATGCAACGTTTTTGCAGAAACCAGACGTGAAAGAAATAGGCTGTGTAAGTGCATCTTTTTCTTCTTTTTCCTTTTATCGCGGCAAGTTTTTTGCAAACTCTCAAACAATGTATAGTTTCGCTATTATTTGCAACCTACTATTCTCTGCCTCAATCGAATTCTCTTTTGTTAATTATGTTCACTCTTCTTAAAATGTTTAAGGATTTTAGTTAGCAATGGATATATGGAAGGAACGCCTCATAGAGCCAATATTGGATAAGCTAGTCAACTTACTTCTTGCTGCGATAGGGCAAGACCGCCTTGGAAACGTGCCTCCAAATAAGGATGTTATTGCTGGTGTAATATCGTCGTTCCTGCAGGTAACATTTCGCCTTTTTCTTTTTCTTGAAACTTGAGTGTGGTCTTTGGTTCATTTTAGATCGAAGAGTTCGAGTACTCTCCAAGTGAACCAGTTGCTCTTGGAGTGAAAATCAACTATAGAGAACCTCCAAGAGAGTTTTATCAGGAAGCTTTCGAATCAAGGTGGCTACTTCGGTTTTTCTATGTTACTGTAACGTCGATTGTTTCGTTATTTTATCTTTATTCAGATTTCTTGCCTCGACGGAGGAGTATTACTCAGGTCTAGCACAAAAATTACTAGCTGACATGACTTGCAGCAAATACATGGAAGCTGTGAGTGTTTACTTGATTGCATTTTAAATTTCTTATTGATTACTACATGATCGTTATTTATCTGGCTAACTTTTCATAAGCTCCCATTACTCATGCGTCGTGATGAAGCTAACTTTTCGTAATCTTCTTATTTTATATTGGAGTAATTAGATATTGCAAATATAAAAAGAATAAAATTAAAAGGCTTTCAGTTACACTTATTGTTAGCAATCTTCCGCATTATAGGTGATCGAAGCGCTAGAGGCGGAAGAACGACGATCTGCAACTTACGTGAGCCAGTCAAGTGTGTCTAAGGTTGGCCTCCATTGTTCATATATCCTTATTTGCATTCATTTCTTTCCTTGGGCTGTTATTCTCTTTTGAATTCAATTTATTTTTTCCTTCGGCTTCTGTTACTCACCTACCATTACACTAAATTTCTATACCATTTCGCGTGCTGCTCGCTACCATATGCTCTACCAATGGTATGCAGAAGGGCCGTGGGAGAATCATGATGTTCTTGTTTTCTAGGTTATTCGTTTATGCCAAGATGTAATGATTAATGCTCATAAGGACAAGTTGCATGCTGTATGTCATGAGCTGATTACAAACGAGGAAAGGAAAGGTACTTGATAGTTTTCATTGAGATCTGAATTTTTCTGCAATAAACTTCATTTCACTCCAGTATTTGTTCAGCTTCTGAATTACTCTGTTATAGCTGATCAATCGTGGGACTTTTGTTCAGATCTGCGCAACATGTATAGGCTCCTGAAACCGATTCCATCTGGATTGCTGGTAATGGCAAAAGAATTCGAAGATTACGTTCGCAAGAAGGGTCTCGATCTAATATCTACTATTTCGGGAGACAATGTTCCCCAACAGTTTGTTGACAATGTTTTGAAGGTTAGTAGACTGGTTAGTTTGGAGGAAACTAAAGAAGAGCTGAATAAATTTCACAGGTGCATGAGAAATTCCATGCAATGAAGACTGAAGTTTTCATGGACGACGGTGACTTCGCAGGAGCTCTCGACAAAGTGTGTTCAACTTTGAATATTTTCTTATCGTGGCCAATCTTAATCGTATATATTCTCAAACTTTCACCTGTCTACGCTGATGCACCTGCTTCAGCATAATCGCAGTTCTCATAATTCAGGCTCTTCAAAGTGTTGTCAATGTGAAGGAAGGTAGTGGACCACCGCGTGCAAGCGAAAGGGTTAGTGGTTTCTCGTTTCTGTAAACTTATTTTCACCAGTGCTCCAGAGGAATTCCTTCATTAAAACAGGCTCCTTTCTTTTCAAGAATTTTTCGATTCTACCATAGAAAAAGTGTTGCCTGTGCTCCAAAGAGGGCTCCTTGAGTTATCCGCATTTCATAATCATTTTCCAGCTGGCCAGATATACAGACAATCTGTTGCGAAAATCAGCGAAAGGAATGAGTGAGCTAGAAGTGGATCAACAATTGAGCAAAGCTATAGTGATATTCCGATATATCGAAGATAAGGACGTGTTTCAAAAGGTTGGCTCTCTGTTTCATTTTAGACCTGTGAGGAATTGAGTATTCTTCACGGGTAGTCTCTATTCACTGTGAATTATGTCTTTTTTGACAATCTAATTACTCGTTCGTTTGTACAAAACGATGAAGGATCACAGTAGTGATAGCGAAAAGCTAGAGCCAAATTTGCTGGTAGCGCGAGGTGACCCTTTTGAATTTAACTCATTAGTACATGCTGTTTTTCAGGACAATCACTTTCGATAGCTAATAAATTAATTACCGTTTTCAGTACTATTCTAAAATGTTAGCCTCGCGTTTGATAATGGGATTTTCTGTTGCGATGGATGCTGAAGAGGCAATGATTAACAAACTCAAGGTTAGCAAGCAATCAACTTGCGCCAAATTCTATACGTATTGACTTCAAAATTTTTCCTGATACCTTCAGTTCTGAATGCTATCCTTTCAGCAAGCATGTGGCTACGAGTTCACTAGCAAGCTATCTCGAATGTTTACGGATATTGGTTTGAGTAACGAATTAGCGGACAAATTTAACAAGGTAAGTGATGCAAACTTGCTTTTTTGTCGTATTTTGACTTTGTTCTAAAAACTTGGTTCCAGCACCTTGATAAAACTCATACTTCCGTTCATGTGTCCATGCAACCCCTAGTATTACAAGCTGGTTCTTGGCCCTTATCTGCTCCGCAAGGTACACTTCACTTTTTTTCTAGGAAGTAGTAATATTTTAGAAGTACGTACATATAGAATTAATTACTTGCTTTATATGTCAATCAAGTTTCATTCTATACAAGAGTATTCTTTCAGCGGGCTCTGCTAATGGTAATTCCGAAACGGCTTCATTCATTCTGCCACCAATTTTGCAGCCATCTGTGGAGGCGTTTGAGGAATATTACATTGGAGCTCATAATGGGCGAAAACTCACATGGTTATTCAATATGTCCCATGGTAAGTGCACTCATTCCTCTTTCCTTGAACAGGTATTGTTGGCTGCGGCCTTGCGGCTAGTGGCTCTTCTTTAGAATAATGATCTGCTCTTACTTCCAAAAATTTTCTCCTCTCCAGCATTTTATCTTGCATTTTCAATGTTGCTTTATTTTTTATTCAAGCCCACTCATTTACAGCATAGTTTTTCTTGATCTGCTTTTTCAAATGTCAGACAAATGCTTTTTCTCTAAAATGGTCAGTTCACGTTATTTAGTTTTTAACATTGGGTTCTGTTTCTATAGGTGAGTTGCGGCTGACTTATCTGGACAAGCCGTATCTAATATCTATGAGCGTCCATCAAATGTCTGTGCTTTTATGCTTCCAAACTAAAGACTCCGTTAAGGTGAGTGCGGATACCTTCTTTTACCAGCTTTGTAGAGCCAGTTCAACCTTTCCTGTAGCTTTCCAAGCAAAGAGTTCCTATGCTATCAGTAAGAAACATCATCGATTGATGTCGCCAATTGTTTTTGTTTTAGCTTTCCGTGATCTCTCTTGCGACTGGCATTACCGGTGACGCGCTGCTAAGGAATGTTCGTTCTATCGTTGACGCTAATATACTTACTGCTTCTACTAAAGTTAGTGTTTTACAATGTATGATGCTCTGCTCGATAATCGCGTGTTTGTGATTGTTTGCAAATTGACAGGAACTGACTGACTCCTCAGAATTAGTCCTCAATAAATCGCTGACCTGCAAACGGCTTCGATTCCGCCTCGCTACTCCTCAAGTGGTGAAAAACGCGGAAAAGGAAGCTGAGTCCGTCAGCAATACAGTAAGTGGAGTGCCTATGGGCAAGTCTTTGTCATATGTCTCTCAAAAAATTTTTGTCATAAGTTTCTCAAAACTTTTTCTCAAGGTTACACACGACCGCAAATACTATATGGAATGCGCTATAGTACGTATTATGAAGACCCGTAAGGTTCTCAAACACAATGCTCTGATTAGTGAGGTCGGTTCTGTGCAGCTTTCCTCTTTCCAACTATTGTTTAGGCTACTTTTTTTTTTTGCTTGTTAAATATGTATATCCTGTAATGTAAAAGGTTGTCTGAAATCAAGCAGCACATCGAAGTCTCACAACACCAGCGTCTTTACGCACTGCGTAAAGACGCAGATGTTATGAGACTTCGATGTGCTGTAAATGCCTCCATTCTGAAGATTTTTTTGTGACTATTTCTCATCACTTTAGGTCGTGGAGCAGACGAGAAGCAGGTTCACTCCTGATGTAGCTTTTATCAAGAAAAGCATTGAAGATTTAATTGAAAAATTGTACATTCAACGGACAGATCAGAATGACGAATATCAGTACCTCGCATGAGTTTGATAATCACCATTTTCTAATCTTAAATTTTTGATCTGCCATAACTTTGTGTGAACATATCTCCCACTTCGTCGTGTCTATGTGACCGACTCAAACCAGTACAATCGCAGAACTGTCTCCATTCGAGTTACATTTGTGTTAGCACCATATGCAGAATTCCCAAAAGAGAATAAATACTTGTCGATTCAATTGCACGCGCTCTATGCGTCCAGAAGAATCCTTTTCCTTCCTGCCTAATTAATCGACATGTAATTATCATAATCTTTTTGGGGTTTTAAAGATTTCTTCGATACAGTTGTAGCATAAGCTGCTTCAAAAAAGTACGGTCAGTCTCATGCTTTTGGTCTGCAAGCTTTTGCACTGGCAATTTCCGAAGGTATGGGGCGTTTTTTTTCTTGCTCACATTGTCTAGCGGTGGTTGTTTGTTTTTGGCTGCTTCTTTATTTCTAGTGAAGATTTTGAATATTCGGCCACTCATGTAACGCTAATCTACTCATCTTTTCCTTCCACAACATAGCTTTCTGTTTGTCTTCTTACATCTGTTTGTCTACATATTTGTATATTAGTAATGAGTAGTAGTTATTATCGTTTCCGTTACTGATCGAAATCAATCAGATGTTCTAACGAATGTGAATACAGAGTATACTACCACATGATCCGGTTCGATGTTCAATGCGATTTATTAGGGTGAGGATATAGGTGTTCATATAGTATACTAATATGCCGGTTGTTATGTGTAATTACCGCTTGTCGTGTGCCTTTTATAGTAGTAATTATGACTTGAATGTTGTGTATAATAATTGGGAGCAGTATGCACAAGACAATATCATCGGTGAGATTTGTTTTCGGTACAGCTGAAGTGCTTCAAATACCTCATGCATGCAATAAATACTTATTATTATTCACCTGCTTTCTTGTGGTTGATGGCGCACCAAATCGTTCATACACATGTCGGCTTGATTCCTGTCTCTTTCTTTGCTGTTGTTATCGAATTTTATAAGAGATTTTTCGACACTGTACTAGGGCGTGAACACCTACTAAACGGGTTTTTTCGGGGATAGTGATCGAGTGAAAGGGAGAGCCATGCGTCGAATAGACTGTCACTTTCACAAGTTTCTTTCTCAGAGTACCTCATACCCATGAAAGCACAGTAGGCGGCTTTGAGCCAAAGAATTTAACAAATCTCTACTCATAGCGACTCATTGAAGCGGTATCGAAAACACTCATCATCAAAGATCTTAGTATTATCACCCCAGCCCATCAAGAGTCTCTCGACTCACGGCTTGCACTGCGAATATCTTAATAGTATCAAGTCGAAAATGTGGCGTTACTATCGGATTTTGGTCAGGGCGATTAATTAAACATTTAGGCCCAAGCGCCGCTCGGGTATCCCATTTGAAGTGCAGGCAGACATTACTTAATGTCAATATAGCGCTACTTTGTTTGACGATCTTGACCCCCTCATGCACTTCGATAATGTCAGATTGCTAGTCCTTCATGGAAACAAAATATTAGAGAAAGGAAAAAAGTTGATAGTCGAAAAACTTTTTTAATTATTCTATTTGAACATCATGAACATATCCGGATAAAGAATCTTAGCCAAAACAAGGGTATCTTAGATTTGCCCTGCCTTCTCCGTGTCCCAAGTGTGCCTTAGACATTCTTCGTAAGTTACGAACTGCTGAACTACGCCGATAATCGATTCCGTATCGTAAACGTGCATATTTGTTTACACACAATTTCCGCTTGGAATGAAGGCACACCCTCATGTACAAGGGCACGAATCGATTTAATCGATTGGCTAAATTGCGTTTCGCCGAATGCAATACAGCAGATCTGGATCGTCTTCTCTTCAAAGCGCATCTATTCGTCATTCACGATGCTTTAAATGTCGAACTGCCATGTTACTATTTTAAGGGTTATTACAATCTATTATACTTTACAGTACTCCTATGTAATAAGTAACCATTACTGGTATGGACACCTTATACGATATTTCCAGTTTAGGTTCATCTTCCGAACCCGTGAAAGTCACGGAACTAGCCTGCCTTCCTTGCAAACTTCCACACTCTTTTCTTTTCATGTTTGTTTTCTTTTAGATCTATGAATATTGGCTCCCTCTTCAGCTATGCTTCCTTGTCCTGCTGACTTCAATCAACTTCATTATTGCCGATCTTCAATAGTACTTTCTAATATTTCTATCCAGGCATCTGATTACCTGATAGGTTTTAAAAAGTTTTTGTGTCCTACTTCCGTATAGATAACACTTTCGGAAATGAGAGTTAAGGATAACTTCAGTTCATTGAAAGCTCCCTAATATCTGAATGGAATTGCAATCCAGAACAGCCTCGTAATGGTGAAAAGGTTTTATTAGAAGAAATTCGCAATAAAAAGCAGAAGACGTGAAATGTAATGGTTGTTGCAAACTGCACCACATGTACCGAATTTTCCGCCAAATTTACTTGTTCCTCAGATTTTCATGTCGCTGTGCTGACGTTTTTGAGGAAAGATTTATATTTGTCTCAATTCTCGCGATACGGAAGTCTGTCGACATTGTTTGTACTAACAGATTGATTTGATGATTGATGGATAGATTTTTTTATGCTTTCGCGTTCGATTCATCTTACTTGTCACTTTCAATTGCCGTTTCTCAAGGGCGCTTTCGCTACATGCTAGACTAATACTCAAATATTCTATCACTGTAGATGTAAGATTTAAATGAATCATGAAAAAGCTACGATTTTCTCTATTGTAGCCGTTGTCATGAACATCCATGCTGGCACTTCTTGAAGCCTAGGCTTGTTACACAACGTCCTGTACTGTTTTGAAGTACAGGTTTGTCACGGATAAGACCGATTTATTCTGTTGGCATTACGAACGAATTGTCGCCGTCAGGGATCAAAGTAGACTGATCCTCGTGACTTTTCGTTACAGTAGAGTTCCACAGAGTAACCCTCGTTCATTAGACTGGCTTATAACGTTTAGTGCTTATAGTTCGAGGTGCTTCAAGTACTTATTTTGTACGAGCTGCTTTCCAAAGTGATTTATATTCATGGACTCAGGTTACTAAGTATTTCATGGTCTCTGTAAAACGGAATAAGTACTTCTTTTTGTGAAAACGAAGGTAATAAATGTATTTCAGTGGAATATACGTAGCAACCAACCTAATGTGACTGACGCAAATTGCTCCTGCAACCGGTATTACTAGGAATAAATCATTTAGGAAGGTGATATAGCGGGTTAAGCACGCATCCGCTAGGCTTTTGTTTTTGCTGGAATTCATAATGGCTACCGAACAAGTTCGCTTATGAAAGTTACGCATTGTTGAAGCTTTCCATGGAACAGCAAGTGAAGGCAAATTAGGTTCACTAGGCGAGTTCATGCTGAACGTCTCTTGTCCTGCTCACAGCATGAATGAACGCATTGAGATGGTCGAAGTACAATAGACGTTTCCATGCGTATTTTTACCCTGGAACATCGGGTGTGGCCCACATTTTCTCCTACACCTATTTCCGTCCTTTCCATATAGACTTGAACTACTGTTCCGACGTTACTTTTCATGATTTGATAGGTGAAAATATATGAGATTTCATGTATGAAAGATGCCGTTGTCTTTATTACTTAGTATCAAAAAGTGTTCAGTTCAGGTTATAGGATTCTCAAGCTTTATACATATTGCAGCATTAAAGAGACCTACAGTGGTTGATATGGGTCCTCGCAAGCTCCAGCTGTGTAGATCCAGAGTGAAATAAACTGGATTGATTGATTGTGAGTGAATTTTAACATGGATAGTTTAACGTGACGGCTGTGTGAAAGCTAGCATAAGTTCTGACGCAGAGTATACAAACTGTTCCATCTGCTGCCTCACTCGATGATGTTTTCCAATTTTGACTTTTTCAATGGAGTCTTGAAATCTAAGGCTTTTTTCTTGTTTGAAAGGTCGGTTCTTAACGGCATAGTTAGAGAGATTCCGACCTGATGGTTAATGCCTGACTTTCTTGTAACTTGGAGTGCTTGCGGCTCTGTTTTATGTTCGTTGTAAGGGCATCTTGCAGGACGATTTTCGTCGAAGACCCTTTTCCAAGGCTGAGGTTCAATCGTATTCAGGTTAGCTCGTGGCCGAGATGTGCGAGTTTTTCACGGCGACGAATATGATTGCGTCGCGACCTATGTGTCACTCTTTTTAAATGCCTCATGAACTCTACGGCATTCTTTTACTTCTAGGCGTCGTTATTAGTCACATAAGCCACGCATGTCAAGGTAACAGGTTGTCCAAAAGAATAAAGCGATTCCGGCATCTCTCAGAGCTTTTCTTTTTTGACCTAATGTTTTAGGATACGTTATAGTGTAATAACGTTCCACTTAAGTGGGTTATCTTTTCTGGGCTCACATAATTCTGTTTATGCGATGTACCTGTTGGCTGCTGCATCGCACGTATCTCGAATTATGAGAAATCGCTGAATCGAGTTGAAGAAGGACTTTCTTTACTGCCGACGTAATTTGGCGTGTTTTTGCTGAGTTATCCATGGTAAATCCGAGTCTCCAATGGAAGTAGAGGATTCCAAATGAATGGCTGTAGACGGACATATCGCAATGACGACTCACAGTAAGATGAAGTCGCTGCATTCTCTGGATTCTGGCAAATCGTACTGAGGGTTGGTAACGGTTAGGTTATCGAGTTTTGCACGAAAATGGTTTCGACTAGAAATAATCGCACACTACAGGTTTTCTTTTTTGGATGGCTTTGGATGTTATTGCAGGTACTGAGTGAGTTGCTCATTCGATGTGGTGACCGATGCAAAGTTTCGTTTTGACGCAGCCAGAGAGATCCCCTTTAGCTCCCGGTTTTTCAGTGCGTCTTGCCGATTTCCTTTCATTAATGTGGAGACCTTCTTGAACGTCAGGTTGTCCATAATAACTGCGTCTGTTGGTGTGTTCTTGAAACGATGCGCTTTCTGACGCATTGGATCAGATAGAGGCGTGGGCAAGTTTGCAGCATGAGTCACCATTCCTTCGGCTGTTGCATCGTTTATTGAACCCTGGTCAGTCTTCAGTGCAGGGGTGGTCATGGTCACTGTGGACGGGGCACGTTTCTCCAGAAATGATTCAGTTCCGATTGGCGAGCATGCAGTTTTTCAGCTGTTCATCAAAGCTTGTTGCTGGCTTAGCGGAGTCATCCTTGCTGTGTGATTTCTCAGCAGGTGACATCAAGTCAACTGACAACTAACATTATGTTTGATGAAGGAAGCGGCTCCATTCTTTTTTCACGCCTGAATCTTGGCTCAAGAAACCGAAGCTATAAGACTTTTGTTGATCTCAGTTGTTAATTAGATGCTTAAAAAGATTTTTGCATTGTGTTGGTTCTGAATCGCGCTCCTTTTCTTCTTTTCTGCTCCTTTGTTCGTCTCTTAGAGATTGATTTATTCATGTATCAAAAGAACCCAGGATGATTGCAGTGGTTCTGCTTTTAGAATGAGTCATTCATGAGTGAACACCGGTATAATTGCCCAATTCCTCATGAATGCAATTCACGAACATTTTTGAAAAGAAAGTGAATGTTTGCGATTTGATGACTTCTCCTTAATTCATACAGACCTCACATCATTTCGTGACATTATGACATCTCCGCACGATTAAGTAGGTAGGGCATCCAATCGTAACATTTTACTTTTCAAGGTTTTTTTTGCGAGACCGCGTCGGCTTCCAATCGGCCAGTCATCGGCGGTAAACCGTGGACTGAGGTATGCGCTTACTACATTGCTTACTCTAGGCTTATTTTTGTTCATGGATTTCAATTTTTCTTCGTTCTGTTTATCTTTTCTTCCAAATTTTCTAACTTTTCTTTATTATTGGCCGTGATTCAATCCGATGAACAGTTTCTTTTCATCATCAACTCCAGGGCATTGGCGAAGAAACTTAAGTATCCGGTGACCAGTTTTCTTTTAATTTCTGGCTTGAGTGTATTTACGAGTTAACCGCTTTGTTACATACTGTTCCCGAGGGGTAGCACGTCAGTCAAAAGAGGAAAATAAGCATACACAGTGCCCGATCAAATCCCCGAAAATGGATGTTCTTAAGATTTTTTTTTCAAATTTAGAAATCACTTTTTGAAATGATTTGGCGCTGATAATTGTCAACATGAAAGAAATAATGATTATGTTTTTGTTAAGATTATTTGCATCATGAAGAGATTGCATGATTATTTTCCAACATTGTGTAAGTATCACAAAGATGGCAAAACTTTATAGTACTGCTGGGAAATAACAGAAGTCAAAATATGTAAGTAAAGTGCAAGTGAAACACGCAAAGAATTATGATGTTATAGCCACTCGTGATGGTGGCCGGCTCTCGCACCTGCATTCCGCTGCTTGGCGGAATGATGTTGGGTGCTTTACTCGCTGTACTGTTCTTTTCGCCAGAAGACGCCGACATAGGCGGTGATACGATGTGTCCTTCACGAAATGCGCCGCAAAAGGAGTAAGTATTTTTTCTGTAGGAGAATATTCTTCTTCGTTTTGGGTCTTCCACAGCGGCTTTGACTACTAACTTTTTCATTGGAGAAGAGTTTAATATTCATGTTCCAGATTCGTTGATGTGAGCGAGCATTGGACTGTGCATCTGGACAACATGCCGTCACCGCCACCGAATCAAGATGCGACTCCAAAGGTATGTTTATTGTGGTTTGGATAATTGTTGTGCACCGTAGTTCTATTTACTTTTGGGGGGAAAAATATCGGTTTATGCTACTATGAACCTTCTCAGGTGGTTCGTGCGAGATTTGCTGCCACAGAGCTCGGAATCAGGGAAAGACTCATGGTTGGCGTGCTGGCTGAGTCGTCGTTGGCGGTGGCGATGAATGCATCGCTTGGTAGACATGTGCCAAGAATTCATGTCTTTGCCGATGCCAGTCGCATAGATACAGACTTAGCACAGCTCACCAATCTCAGCCCATACAAGTCGGTGTTTGGTATTTTGCAAATTACTGAATGCTAATCGAAAGAGGATATTTTAGGCCGAGTGGTCAGAAGTCACATGTTGCTGTATTGGGACTGATATTCAACATGGTAAAGCTTCGCGATTGTTCTCTCTCTTTTTCTATTCCGATTTCTTTGTTTCTGATTGCTGTTTAGTGGAAATAATATGTGTTAAGATTAAGTGATTCATGGTCGATAAAGGTAAGTCGTCATTGTATGTGCCGTTGTGATGAGTTTGTTGCTATCAAGTGATGTTCGTGTTTTATTCGCTCATATTGACAGAAAAAAATTTCTCGATCAAATATTGTGATGAACATCTTTTAGACGTTTCATGAGAACTTCGATTGGTTCTTGCTTGTTCGGGACTCCACCTACATCAATCCATTCGAGCTGAATCGTTTCATTAATAGTGTAAGTTAAACGATTGCTATTAATTTTTGAAAGATTTTTCAAGGTCAGCTTTAACTTTTACTTTTTCCCAGTATCTGCAGGGAAAGAAAAATAAGGAGGTAAGCTGAAGTTCTGAGTTTCAAAAATGAAAAATTTAGCTTTCACTGTTATATAGATTTATAGCCCCTATCAATAATCAGGGATTGTCGTATGCGTGAACGCAAATTATAAGAGGTTTTCGAGTCTCTCTGGTACTGCAAAAAAGGCCGCAAACACGAACGGGGGCAAAAACAAGGAATTTCTTGAGATAATGCCTGCGCTTCTGAATGACTTTGATTTCTCCCGATTTCAGGTGAACTGGAATCAGCCCGTTTTGATTGGCTATCCAGCAGAAGATGGAAGCGGTCGATGTATGTTGGACGCAGGCGTCATTCTCAGCAATCCATCAATGCAAAAACTTATTCAGTAAGTTTTCCGTTCTAGTTCTGGTATATTCAGTAAGCGCAGATTATTTGAATCGTAGTCATGACTGTAAACTTTGAGAAAATCTCTTTATGAACACTTTTGAAATAGTCTGCAGCCTTTTCGAAGGTATTTCCTCCATTTCCCGATCTTTTCCTTCGGGATTTCCCAATCATTTGTGACTTACGTTTAGTTTCAAATGCTTTTAAAAAAATGCTGTTCCTGGAAATAAAGGCGGTGACAATGTCTTAAAAATGGCGTTCTTCATATTCAAGTTTCCTAAATTTAGACAGCGGCACGCATGTAACCTTCTAGCGAGTGGTTCTGATGCGGATCAGCTAGCCTTTGAAAAATGTCTGCAGTTGGCCACTAATCTCTCTTGTAGCAGTGAATACCAAGTAGGCACACATTTTTCTCTCTTTCTCAACTGCTACTATTTTTGTTCTCTTTCTTTTTAAGGGCCAAACTTACAATGTTTGGCATGTAGATGGTACGCAGACTGCTCATGATGCCATAGATAAATGGCGAACCTACGACGGTTTCAACAAGTCGATTGCCGTCACAAAGTTGCTTTCTGATGCTGATGCATCCGCACTCCACGATCATTTCGTCAGCGTGGAAGTGGCAAAGTGGGTAACTGTAGTGGTTTTTCTTTGGTTTCCAGAGCTTTTCTTGTATGTGGCTTGTCTTATAAACGATGAAATACCCTCGAGGTTCAGAGTCGACGCAGAGATATCAGCAATGGAGACGGAACTCAACGAACTTCAAAAGGATTTGGACGAAGGCCCGACCTGGCCGGCAGCCGTTCCTCCCTACAGTAAACCACCTAATCGTTACCAAGTACGAGTTTACTCTTCGAACACAGCGTCCGATTGTTTTTCTTTTGTCTCCCTCTTCGAGGTCGCTCATCTGTGAAATCTCATTCTGCTGTCGGACTTCAATTTCCGATCGATTGCACTGTTAAGCAAGAAAAGATCAAAATTACTGCTTTGCTTTTCTTTTTTGAAAGCTCAAAGGAAAGAAACGTAAAGTTCCCGAACCAGTTCTATTCACAGCTTTCGTGTTTTGCTCGAGCACGTCCTTGATCGCTTCTGCAACTTGTTAGAAAACATACGGCGTACCTTACAAACAAGCCAGTCTTGTCGTTCGAGTAAAGTTCATCTCTTTTTCTGTGAGTGACGAACGTTTTAGGTTCCTACATGGGAGTTTTTCACGCTGAAAGACATTTTTCGAAGTGAACCCAATCAGAACGTTCGTCCACTGGAAGGCAAAGATCGTGATGATGTGTTGGAGGTAAATCGATTTCCTAATTCATTGCTTCCAATTATAACAGTATGCAATATGTACAGGTGGTTGCTGCGGCTAGACAACATGTGGAGTCTGAGGAACCTGATTTGGAGTTCTTGCAGGTTCGAAATGGGTACAGGTAAGATCTTATGTGATGTGTAATTGATGTGCTTTTCTAAATAGTAGATTAATATCTAAGACGAGCCCTAGTGTTTAGATTATTCGATCCTCAGCGGGGTATGGATTACATGGTCGACTTGGTATATAAGGATAGCGTTACGCAGATCACTGTAGAGCGCCGTGTGCATTTGTGCCGTATGGTCGCCGGCACACAACTCATGAATCAGGTGTTTACTTTGAATATTTTTCAGTGGTCAAAGATTTCGCTATTTTTTCTTCGTGTTTTTCTTCATTGATTTGGACTGCGTCTTTTTATAGGTCCCATATGTGAAAGAGGATACGGACATGACGATTGTTGTACCAGTAAGTGATGAATCGGAAGTTTTGCCAGCGCGCAGGCTTCTAGCTAGGCACGCAAGGCTGTGCACTGCACCTGCTGAGGAAACACGAAAGGTCTGGTTGAGGTTTCACCTTTTTTGAGGACTTCCTACATTCACCTTTACCCTGTGGTGAATAAGATATTCAAGACTCGTGTTGTCGTCGCACTGTTACCTGGTATTGATCCTCGTTCTGCCACCAACATCGCTAACGATTTAGAGGAGCTAAAAAGAAGGTAAGCATCTTGACCGGAATCGTAATTCCTTGATGCGCCAATATTGTCCATTTAATTGGTTTGATTTCTGCCTGCATTAGAAGATATCGTTGAAATCATAGTAATCAAACTACAATATTTGGTCCTATTACAATTTCTGTACGTTTAATGAGATGCGGTTGCTGATCTGCTTTTCATTTTTCTTGACATTTTTTTCTTCTCTTCATCTCCCTTTACGATTCATCTGAGTGGTTGGTTTTGCTTTGTTATTGTTCCGAATTCCCAAGACAGATTCAACCTCCTTAGGCAAGCATGTTTTTTGAAAGCTCACGCTCGTTTTCCAACTCCTTTTTTCGCAGAGCAAACATCCATTGATTGTACTTGTTTACGATACGTGAAAGGATGGAGTTAAGTTACAAACAACAATTTAAACTTATCGATCGAGAATTTATGACAATTTCAGATGTAAGCGCTCTGGACTGGAGTCCGACATGTTGCACTTACAAGATTCTTCCGACGAAAAGGCTCCACGAGAGGGAAAATCAGCAGATGTACGTGGAGGAAGCGCTGCTCTTGATGAAGCAATTGATAGATATGGTAGTGGCTCGATATTCCTACTATTATCGCCACACGCCGACGTTCAGAAAGAGTTCCTTGACCGAGCTCGTATCAACACTATAAAACACTATCAGGTATGTTTTAACTGCATTATCACAACCAAATCGGACAAATATGCAGACCGTACTGTAGCAGACCTGTCATTTGTCATTTAAACATATTTGCATAAACCAAGGTATTTTAGGTATTTTTCCCGATTCCTTTCGTGGAATATCATCCAACGATCTCGGGAATGGACGTTGAAGAGCACGAAGTAAGTTAACTTCGGATATTTCACTTTCTCTCAACTTCCTATACCTGATGTCTAGGTACCAACTGACCAAAAAGAAGCTCGTGATGCGGCATTGGCTCGACTGCGTGACTCATCACCGCCAAGACGAAAGCGCCCGCTCATTGTTCAGAAGGTAGGAGGATTACCTAAAACATTCATTTCAATTGAGGAGCAATATTTGCCCTAAAATCATTTTACGCGGTCTGATCTAATGCCTACTGAAAAGGATTCAAACAATCAGTCGAGAGCAGGGTTGAGGGTTTTTTGCTCTACATACTAGTTCAACTATTTGTTCTTTGATCCCTCGAAAGCTTACAGCAACACCTATGTAAGACTTTTTTGAGAGGTTTCTAACCATTTGGGACGAATATTTTTGAGCCTTACCGTTTCCGATTTTTGAGACTTTCTACAATGCTTCTTAACTTCGTGTCACACATCCATGGCGTACACTCAGTTCACCGTTGTCGCTGCTTTCTGATCATTTTATGCTTGGATGATTTCATTCCGTACTGCCATTAGTAGGCAGTTTCTCTTGCAGGATCATGGTCGCTTCGATTCGCTCGATTTCTCTTGTATGGCTGTATATGGATCTGACTATGTAGTTATGCGACCGAAGTTACTGGGAAAAAGACTCGATCTGATCACAGCTTTTTTGAATCAAGACGAAGTTCATATACTTCGGGCTGTTGAGCCAACGTTGCGAATCAGGTAAGATTTGAGTAACTTTGCTCGTGTCTCTTGAATAATGAAAACAACGTCTGTCCCGACGTTTTGTTTATTTTTCGGTGTAAAATTTTGATTCGAACATACTATCGCTAGATTTCATCAAAATACTTTTGGAATTCTTCTTGATAACTCTCCTGTTGCGCGGCTACATCTGGAGTAATGTTGCCTGCGCGTTCTGTTTACTAAGATTTGTTTTTTTGTTTTTGTTTGTTCTGTGTTTTTTTTTCGTTTAGGTTTTTGTGCTCGCTTTTACTGCGATTTAGATTTTGCAGGTATCATCAAAAGACGTGCGATTCTGACTTGGTGGAGGAGGATTACTCAAGGTGTATGGCAAGTAAACGTGAAAATATTGCTGCTAAAGATCAACTTGCTCGGCTTCTCTTCCACGAAGAGTAGTGCTCCATGGAATCTGTTTTTGAGTTCACATGTTTTCCTCCAGTCAATCGCATAGGCTTCTCCTCCCTGCACGCGTCATGAGAAGAGAGGTATAACTCGAGCAGTGTCACCTTGCGAGTCTAGAAACCTAGAGGGAATTCCATCCTATTTTGAAATTCTTTTCGTGAGTGGTGATATTTAATACCCTTATTAGAAAAAAATACAAATGCCTTCAAGAGATCTTGCAATTTGTCATTTTACGTATTTTCGCGGCTTGGGAGAAGGTGGTCTGAACGAAGTCAGATTGGTTCATGGATATGTGTTGCCCGGTGCCAAAAATAGCTGTATTTAGCTCTCTTGTCAGTATCATTTCAAAATAATCGAATAATGTCAAGAATTAACGAAAAACCCTGAAATCAGCTGATCAGGCTGCGGGCAGGGTCAGCGATTATCCGTCTTATCAAAACATAGACAGCAGCCGGTTGTATGGGACCGGTTATTGTCTCGGTGGTGGTAGCACAACCCCTGTGGGGATCGTTAAGAAATGAGAATATCAAGAATTCCGGCGTTGGAGTAAAAGAGTAGTGGTGGTTCCCATAGTGCCCTTTTCCCTGTCAGTATAAATAGGTGGACTTTTTGGATGTGTCAGCCCGCGTATTACTGTGCTTTTGTTCTGTAAATTGTGATATTCTGTGGGACTGTGGTATATTCCCCAAGTAATCATCTCGAAATTGGTCATCTTACAAGCTTTCTCATATTCTTTACTTTGGCATTTCTTTTTACTCATTATTTTCTTGATTTTACTCTTCTTTTATGCCTTTTGTTTGACGATTTCTAGAGCTACTTCCTACTCTTAGTAGAATTGCCAGTGAACGGAGCATGCTGTTATGACGCTTGAAATAGATCCATCCCTCTGCTTATATCAGATGTTCATGGTTATTTCCCCTAATCGAGATAATTGCTTTGAAACTAGTTCTATCAAGAGTTCAGCGAATGTTGGTGATTTTGGTTGTTCTCTTCAGGCCGCCATTAGTCACTTGCTGGAGTTATAATCAGAGTAGTGAGTACTGTTTTTTTTTNNNTTTTTTTTTGACCTTGTAAAGGGTTCGTCTTTTTTGTTATTCAAAAGTTACCTTATTCTTCGCTGAATTCTTTTTTCATAGTTCTTTTTTCATGTTGTTAATTATAATTTTTACTTGCCCATGAGTTTGGTGCATTACTTTAATCTGGTTGACATTCTCAATCTTGTCCATAATAACAATCTTGCCCACAAATCTCTTATAAGAACTCGATTTTGCTGCCCAAGTGATGCATAATATTAAGTACGCATTTTATCGTTGCTCCTTGATCGCCATGTTTTAGCCCTGATGAATTTCTGTGATCACATAATTACTAGAGTGTACATATATGGTTCTATAAATGTGATTTTGCTAATGAATTTGTTATTTACGTGTGTTGGTTTGCAGTAGTATTTGCTTCACAAAATATTTGGTAGATGTCTTTGCACTACTAACAGTTGACTGAATGATTTAAACCAACTGAAGAGAAGCACCGAATGTTCCGTTGCTGAGCTTTCAGTTTACTCATTATCGTCGAGGCAAGCACCTCAAGGACTATGTCAAATCCGTTGATTCGATGTGAGAGGTGGATATGAGTATTTGTGGTACAAGATGTGGGTCAGTTGATCATTAATGTTTTTGTATCATTTCATCCCGAAATTGATGATTTTGTACGATTTTTTCGTTTTTTCGTTGTCACATCAATTTCAGTCACCAAAAATATATGAGTGAAGTGCTAGTGCGTGTAAAGGTGTCAAATCAAAGTCGATAAGATCAGTTCTGGAATGTGTGAAAAAGGTGAGCTGTTAGCTGTATAGCTGCTAGCCAATGGCAAAGAACTTTTGTTCAAAAAACGTATTCGATTCAAGCTGGCTTTGCCATTTTGTTGTATCCCTATTACTCAGCGAATAACCAGGAGACAAGGAAATAGTCGTAATATTTCCTAAAATATTGATTGTGATTCCTTACCAGTGCTCCTTTCATGCTTGAGTTTATAGGGAAGGAGATCTAAAGAATGTACGAATGGAAATACGATTTTAAACATCTTTGCTGTAGAAACCCGGAAAGCCTTAGTACAGCAAGGAAAAGTTTAGTGGAATTTGTCGTGAAACGCTCTAAAGCAGTTGTGAAGAGAACGTTTATAAATATTTGAACAGGAACAGGGGGCCGATATTTCTAATACTGATGAAAAAAACTGTGCTCTTTATAGGTGTTATGAACTCACTTCATTGAACTTATCAGAGAGATCATTTACGGAGGATAATCATCTTGATATTAGAAAAGATTATCCCTTCTAATAAAGGCAGGAGATTCCTCGATTCAACGCTGTAGGCGCCTTGGAGGCGGGCGGCACTGTGTCCGGCGATTATTTTCGGACTGCTGATTATGAAGATTGTGGTTGCTACAAAAAAAGCCCGATTCATACGCGATTGTGTTTACCGCATTTTTAGCGTGATTTGGTGCATCGTGGTTGTCGTTCATTCGTGATATAGTTAGCGAGGCGCCATTAGCGCACACCATCCGGATAAGTAGCTTGTTCTCATATACAGTAGTGCTCAAAAGTATTCGGCCAAATGCTTCTTCACTCGTACTTTTCAAACATAACTTGTTTCGTACTGGATCTAATCAAGCGAAATTCAATATGTGTAG